AAAGTGTCGCACGGAAATGCATGCTTAATAGTTGTTTAAACTGAAACTGAGTTATGTTGCTTATTTTGTGTAAACATTATGTTAGTTTCGGGATTTAAAGTAGCACTGAATCTAATTCTTTCACAATTTGTATTCTAGTGATCAAAGTGAAGGACAAAAGTTCATTTTCCGTTTTATTTGAATCGGTTATACTNCTCTTAGCTGTATAACAGTGAACGGGACCGCGTCACTATCTGAAATAGAATCTCGGAAATGAGCTTTTATACAGAGAATAGGAGGAGGAGAAGGAAGGCAGACGAAGGATGGCAGAAGCACGACCATATTGATATTTGTATGGAGTTATCAAATTAGACTCGAAGAACAAGACATATGATGATGTGTACCACGTTTTGCTCGAGAATTTTCTTTCGAATTTCCTTCATGAATTCCGGCTATTTCAAGTTTGATCGATTCCGTGTTGATGGCTTCGTCTGAAGAACACTCAAACGAGGCCGTGTGATCGTCATCGGTTTCGGCTAAGTTATTCTCATCCTCATAGTCATAATCTCTATCATCGTCGCTGTCCTCCTCGACATTATCACTACCTGCCTCATCTCCCGGTACTATATTTTTCTCCTGATTGTCGTCCCCATGCGCATATGTGTTTGTCCAATTGACCACATTCGGCACAGATATGGAACTCTCATTCTTTCCCAGCTCGAACAGTAACTGGTCCAGTTCACGAATCCGTTTCAGGAGTCGTGATTCCTGCACAGTCCGCGAGCTTTCGCCGACCACGGTTGATTCGATATCATTTGGAGCAGTGTTGTGCTGTTTCTCACACCAGCGAATCCGTCGCAATCGTTTCCGATAGCACATCCGTAGTTCTTGGGATAAATCGCATATTAAACGAGTCTAGGAGAGGATGAAAAAAGTTAAGTACAAAACCAAGTATTAAATGAGCGTTAAAATCCTCATGGAATGAAACAGTGATACTAATTTTAAAAAATTATCAACTTCAGACCGAATATATCTAACTTTGTTATTCTACTTCATTATTGCAATATAATAACGGGCATAGTTGATTCATTCGTTTTCAAAAACTAAAGGGGGATGGTAAATCAGACCAATATGCGATCTTAAGTTTAAGTACAATTATGGGTGATACCTTTGTTACAATAATCAAGGATTTTATATTA